TTCAGTGTCGTGGTGTAAAGAGGCCAAATGCCAAAACAGTTATCTTTGTTCCAATATTTCTGGTCCTGACTGTACTTAATGTCTCCCATATTGGTTTCAGATTCTCTCGAGCACTACATCTTCAATTGGCCTGTTTGCATATTTGACTTGTTTCTTTATCTGATTTGAGGATTATCGATGTTAATTCTCTTGAATACAGTACTAAGATTATTTTGGGAGTCTCTACTATGGATATTATTACATTGAAGAGCAAATTGTCTCCTAAAGAAAATAAAGTTCTCTTTTCTTAGTCCCAGCCAAGCATATTTATCAAACGGAGAGATAACACAGGGTTGATATAAAGTTCCATGTGAAGCTAACAAGATGTGAGGTACCAAACAAAACCTCCAAATTCCAGACTAGAGCATATTTTAGCTTTTCTAAAACATTACTTCATTATTATCCTTCATTAATTACACAGAGCCCATTGTGAGCCAGCTTGTATCCTCCCTTTAATACAATCACTATTCATTTATATCTTCTTGTATTTCCTAATCAATAGGTGCTTCTCAAACATTTTCAGTTGTTTTTCATTTAGCATAAACGTTTAATCTTATATTTTGTATTGTGTTTTATAAATTGTGTTATTGTGTTGGTTTTAACCTTTTATGCTGCCTAGACTTGCTTCTGTGAGATGGGTGGTTGTATTAAATTGTTTAAATAAATGCATTCATTGTTATGAAGGAAGCAAGTTAGCACTTTATTAATAATGCAATTCCATTAGCCTAAAACAGTTGTTGTAAATTCCATGAGCTCCTTCAGTGATAAGAAATCAGCTGAGAAATAATTAAATATATTAATCTTATAAATCTTAATATAATTAGTAGTAAAAATAAGATATTTGCAACTAGTGAATATATGTTATTTCTAATATAGGTTGGAAGTGTTTCATAAATCAGACCTGACATATGCTATATTAACTTTATATTGCATTGATTAATAGGCTTTGCAGAATTATGGGCTGTGTAATACACTCTCCATCTACTTAAAAGGATTGGAACAGGAGAATGAAGAAAGCTCCATAGAATTACAGGAGATTCGTTATCAGGCAGCTTGGAGGAATATGCACTGGGATCAGATCTCCACAGTCAAGTAATGCAAATTATCCTGGCATTTTTTGTAACATTTAGAGCCAGTTTGGTCTAGTGGTCAAGGCATCAGGCTAGAAACCAGGAGACTGAGTTCTAGTCCCACCTTAGGCATGAAAGCTGGTTGGGTGACTCTGGGCCAGTCACCCTCTCTTAGCCCAACTCACCTCACAGAGTTGTCGTGGTGGGGAAAATAGGAGGAGGAAGGAGTATTAGGTATGTTCGCCGCCTTGAGTTGTTTATAAAAATAATAAAGGTGGGATAAAAAAAATCTTGAAAAAACTTTTTAAAATATTTATTAAAATTACAATATATGAGAAACAAACAGAGTCAATGGTTCTTAGACCATGATTGGCAGTTAACAATCAACAATTGCTCATTTTCAAGGCATTAAGCACCATGCAAAGAATCTCTTAATTCATGTGAAGGTTGGGAAGAAAGGGTGGTGGGTCTGAACCATCATGACTATAAGTGTAGTAACAGCTCACACTGGCATTGGACAGTGAACTGTTTCATTTGGCTTTATTCTTGTTTGCAATAAAGATTCTTACCTGGTCAAACTGTATCGGCTGAGTTCCAATCTAGGAAGTAAGTTTAGCCATGTAAAGTCTGTCTGTGGTCTGTGATTTAAAGCTGATATGAGAAGCCTTACAGAGCATGTTCAAAGCTCTATAGGAGTTTTTAGTGGGAGCGAGTGAGCTGATTTGTGGCTCTTATAAAGATGCTTATTGTAAAATTTAAGTCAAAAACAATACTGTTGATTTTACTTTAAGAGATGAAATTGGGCAACGAGGCTACCATGAATCATTGTATGATGCTCTACAGTGTCTACGGGACAGAGATTTCTCTACTTTTTATGGAAGATTGAAGTGTGCCAGGTAAAAAGTCAGCTTTAAAACTGACATGCATATGTTGTTAACAAATTAAAATATTGGTGAATGTCACATTTTCTAATGTGTTGCAGTTTAAATTAGCAAGATAGGTGTGCATAATAATATAATATAAATAATAAATATATAAATAATAAATAATATATATATTAAATCATAAATAAAATATTAATATAATAATAAAAATGAGAATGTTATTTTGGAAACGTTTTGCAGCATTTTTTAAAAAACATTTTGCTTACAGTATAAATCATATAGCAATGGAAATCTTGACAGATGATACTTAAAAGTTTTTATTCCTTTAAAAGTTTTTCTGTGGTTTAATGCAATATCCTTCATAATTTATGCTTAATGATACAGGGACCTTAGGTTGGCTTGTCTATAAATAGTAGGTTATAATTATTTCTTTCTTGCATTTGTAGAGTCAAAGAAGTAGAAGAGCTACTGAAAGGTAGCCTTGAGTCTATATATTCATTACTGCCTACGCTCTGCAGGCTGCAGATGATTGGAGAGCTGGAATATGTAGGACAACTTTTCTCTGGGTATTTTACTATTTTCTCATGCATTATAGTAGTCCCCGGATATTTTTGATATTTCATCTGTATAAGATCAAAGGTTCTTATATATCTGATGCTTCACTGTAAGCCTAAATCAGAATTTAAAAATATAAATAGTATATGATACTTTTTTCAGAATAATTTGATGAACTCATTAACTAACACTTTCTTGCCATTGAGTTGGACTCAGACATAGTCATGCTTAAAGTGAAATATTGAGCTAAATGTAATTATAACAAGTCTCATTGATTTCAGAGAGCCTACTGTAAGCGTAACTAAGTCTGGAACCAGCCCATGAGGGTAAATACAGCATTTCTATTTGTTTCTATGGCTGCTTTATCAGCATAAGTCTGTACTATACAGTGCTGGTTAGTAAAGCCGTGCAGGCTTATGCATCATTGATTTAACTTCAGACACCTAAGTGACATGGCTCAGATCTTAAGTTCAGACAATAAGAACTAAAACACTTCTTTATTCCAGCTCTGATTTGCCCCTTATGTACATTTCAAAGCAAAATTATGCCTAAACCAGATTTCTGAGAAAAACATCAGTATGAATGTTTAGGATGTAATTAGGTTACTACAGTATACTTCCATATTAGATCTATAAATGTGGGTAAAAAACAGCCCCCAAATGATAAACATATGGAAGATCTTCTACTGTATTTGAATTTTCTGTTTGACTGGCTAAATGTAAACATTAGGATCAAGAAACCTATATTTTTATTTGGGAATATTGTTATTGCAGTGTATTAACACTTTCCAAGCAGCAGTGTCCACACGCTGTCACTGCTTTCATCAGAATGAAAGCACCCCTATAAGCACCACTCCTTTTAGGGATGTCTGCAACACTATGACACATGTAGAAGAGCAATGGTGTTCGTACCCTCCTTGCCCCACTGACACTGTGGTCTCCAGGAAGCTCTCTTAAAGGAATAATTCAGTCCTGGTAGTTCTCCTCGTGTTTACTAACGGTTTCATATTGAGATGTTAATGTTTCACCTGCCATTTACAGCTTGATCATAGGTTTCAAAATAGGGGCTATGTATGGCTAATACTTTATTAATTTTTAGTCAGAGCTTAATTTCATTCTTTGCTTTCAGGTCACAGACTAATAGCCAGTTGCATAATTTAGATCTGAAGTGGCAGAAGCAGTCCCAACTACTTCAGGATAGTGACTTTGCTTTCCAAGAGCCTATTATGGCTTTGCGTACAGTAATTCTGAAGATTCTTCTGGAGAAGGAAGATGCGGATGCCCAAAGATGCATTAAAAACATTCTCACCAAACATCTTGTGGAGCTGTCCAGATTGGCTCGAATGGCAAATAATTCACAAGTAACAGAAAATCTACCTTAAGTATTTCCTGAAATATAGACATATGTTTTTATTAACGTACAAATATTGAGTGTGTGACTGATTTTACCTTTAGTTAAAGATTCTTCGTTTGCATGAAAATAGTTACTTGCAATTCTGCTACAATCCTGGCTAGCCCTTATAACCTATATGAGGCCCTTATCAGATCTTAGCATAAAAGTACAGCAGAGCAGAGCAGCCTTAACTTTTATTTGCTGCCCTGAACTTTTGTTTGCAAAGGCAAGAAGCACAGTGGGCTGGATGATGATGCTAATCATGATGAGACTCGTTTTTCGGATACTGAGTATCAAAGAATTGAGAATCGTATGAAATCATCAGAGTTTGAAAATAAGCGAGCTTTGCTGAAGAAAGCCAAATATGAAGTTGGCCTTTTAAGGGAGCATAAAGATCCATCTTGCGATAGGTAGAGCCAAGGTTTTCCTGTTTCTGAGTTTTGGGTGGAATGTGGGTGGCTAACATTTCCAGCCTGCTTTATTTTTTGAATTTTTCACCCCAGCAATGGTTGGAGGGCTTCATAGCCCTCATCATTCATAGGCTTCGTGCAAGGGACTTGAGAGCAGGATGTTGCCGGGGGATCTCGTTTCCCAGTCTAATTGAAAGAGTGGCAGTAAATCTTGTATGGTGGACTTTCAGAGCTCTTGAAAAGAGGCCTTTTTGGATGACAATGCATTCATAAGTTTTTGAGGTAGAATGTGACAATAACAGTTACAACTGGCTTTGTCCGTCTCTGGTTTCCAGAAGAATTAAGAGGGTATCACGTCACCCAAATGAAAGGAAACCACAAACAGTTCTTTGTGTTTATTTTTCAGCTTCCAGAAAGAGCAATGTATCAAGTTAAACAGTACAGCCCGACTAGACATGGAGTATCAGAATGGAAATTGGAAGAAGCTCAGGTGTTCTGGGCTAAAAAGGAAGAAAGCTTAGCACTGAGTATTCTAAAAGATATGATCAAGAAATTGGATGAAAATTGGTTTGAGGTAGTCTGATCTATTTTGACTGATGGGTTTGATAGTAACCAAATTGTTTAAATTCCTGTTTTGTTTTGGTTTGTTTTGAGAAATGTAAGTGGTTCTGTTAAATAAAAAGAGCAAAGTATTTGTAGAAAAAATATCAGAATGAAAAATAAAGGAGATGCTGGGAAAAAGAGTTACTTAGTGTCCTAGTAAAGTATCTGATCTGTATTATTATTTTGTTATTCTAAGGTTGAGAAAGACCCACACCTGAAATTAATTTACACAGAATGCCTGAGGTTATGTGGAAGTTGGTTAGCAGAGACTTTTTTAGAAAATCCTACCATCATTATGCAGGATTACTTGGAAAAGGTAAGGGATTTGGGGTGAATCCTATAACTTGTGCAAAGCATTTGAAAATTAAATTTAATTTATGTAGTTCTATTATTTGTTTGATCATTAATTTTTTTTTAATAGCCACATTTATCCTGTTCATAACATTGTTCTAGGCAGTTAAAATTGCTGGGGACCAAAGTGATGACAGCACTGATGAGCTAAAGAGAGGAAAGATGAAGGCTTTTCTGTCTTTGGCTCGTTTTTCGGATACTGAGTATCAAAGAATTGAGGATCGTATGAAATCATCAGAGTTTGAAAATAAGCGAGCTTTGCTGAAGAAAGCCAAATATGAAGTTGGCCTTTTAAGGGAGCATAAAGTTCAGACCAGTCGGTAGGTCTTACAGCTGAAGCCTGTCATGTTAGTTACTTGATTGAAGTTTGCAATGAGTGACCATGGGACATCATGGTATTTTCAAACACTGAGATGACATCCAAACCCAATTTTTAAATAATGATAGTAAAATTGAAAATGGTGTCGCCATGTGAGATAGCTAAATCTACGTCCATCAATAAGATTTCTTGAGATTTTAGCTATTTTAAATTTTTAAGTACAACTTTTTTATTCCTATTTTTGGGATATTTTCACATAATAGTGTCCATTCCTTAAAAAGGCTGCAGGTATGCATACCAACACTACTGTAATAGAAAAGAAGTTAAGATGGCCCTGGCGTTTTGTCTTGGAGCTCTTTAATTTTACGGTATTATCCTAGAATCTGATATTCTTGGTTTGGCAGCATGAGTTTCTTACAGGAAGGTGCCTTTTGTATAACTGTCAATATTTAAGCTGAGGGTTTTAGGGTGGAGGTTTTATTTCTCATTTTGTATTGCTTAGATATACTGTGAAAGTTCAGCGGGAGCTGGAAATTGATGAATGTGAAATTCGCGCACTGGGAGAAGATCGTAAGCGTTTCTTATGCAAAGCAGTTGAGAACTACATTATGTGCTTATTGAGTGGGGAGGAGCATGACATGTGGATCTTCCGTGTCTGTTCTCTCTGGCTTGAGAATGCTGGACTTTCTGAAATCAATGCAATGATTCAGGTTGGTCTTTGTTCTGATTCATATTGAGGCTGCTTCATATTGAGAGCTAGTTTGGTGTAGCAGTTAAGGCACCAAGCTAGAAACCAGGCGACTGTGAGTTCTAATCCCACCTTAAGCACAAAGCCAGTTGGGTGACCATGGGCCAGTCACACTGTCTCAGCCCTAGGAAGGAGGCAGTAGTAAACCATTTCCAAAAAACATTGCCAAGAAAACTGCAGAGACTTGTCCAGGTAGTTGCCATGAGTCAATGCTGACTCAAAGGCACGAAAAAAAAAATTGAGGCTGAATCTAGGGCCACCTGTTTTTATGTTGAGAACCTTTGATTTGGATCTTAAGTGTCCTATCTCATGTAAATCCAGCTTTTGTAAATCTTTTCACAGACCTATGCATGTTATCAGTTGCATAGTTCAAACTTGGTTTGGATTTTACATGCTATGGTTTTGTGCATATTTATGCTACATGTACAGTTTCAGACTTGCAAGATTGATGACAGGCTTATGAGGTAGGTCAGACAGGAAACATGACCAGATGAGCTAATTCTACTTTATTGTAAAGCTACTTTGACAGAACCTTGCAAGTCTGAAAGTACAGTTCTCACACATACACACACTGTCTCCTTTACAAGCCAAGAAACTGGGGAGTGGGGGGGGGTCTTCTGAGCCTCTTGCCCCCTCCACTATCCAGCTGTGAGCTATGCTGTCTCTTATCTGACTGTTCCCTTGGCAGTGTCCCTTTGCCCAGTCTCCCAGGGTCTTTCCCACATTCCATTACGACAGATTATCAAAAGGACAGATTTGTATGGTATTATTTCATTATTGTTGCTGGTGTTCATTAGACAAACTATAGCTGATTAGTTTGAAGGATACTATCTTTTTCTCTACTATGTAGAGAAATTATTAGAGCCAAAGCATTGTATTTGGCACACTCCCATTTCTTCACTCTCACTCTCATTACGTTTGCCTCACTTCATTAGCTTTTGTTCTTGGGATATGTGACATGATTATCTGAATTAATTAGCATCAGCCTGCCATCATAATAGCATCTTCGATTGTTACTTTTTCAGGTTAGTACAAGAAAGTATCCAGCTTGCACAAACACCTAATTATGTTCCATACTGATTCTTCTTTTATACCAAATACATCTTATCTTTTTTGGCTTTTAGGAGCTTAGTCTACCATCTGTTCTGCCTTTTGATACCTTCAAGTGGGCTTAGTGAGCTGAAAACATCCAGAACTTTCACAGATTCCTTTAGGAATATTTCACTGTATAACAGACTTGTAATTCTAGTATAACTAGAAATTGTAAGACATGTATTGGGCCAGTTGACAAGAGCCAATACCTGCCTACACTTCTCTTAAGTCATAGCTAATTCTAGAGTTCTGCAGGTTGCCACATTTACAGCCATCTTCACACATTCACTCTTTCTAACTGAATGTATGTTCCCATTCTTGTCTTCATCTCCAACCTTTTAAAACTTTCCTCCATTTCCATTTTTGAAGGTTTGGCTTCAGTTCTGTTTTCTAAAGTTTTTCCTCACTCTCCAATTCCCTTCCCCTCCCCCTCTCGCCCCCCAAATTCCAGCTCTGTTCTTTAAAAAAACTTTCCAATTACTTTAGCTCAAGTAGGTTAATGTGTACTTGGAATATAATCTCCAAAAGTTGCTCCAGAGAGCCTTAAGAGCTGCAGCTGATATAAGGTGTTGCAGGCAAGTGCTGTGTCTGCGTTCCTCCACACTCCAAAGCACTTTTTAGCGAAAACAATCTGAAGAACTACACAGCCCTACACATAACATAGTTAAACCCAAAGACATTCAAGTTAAGTTCAACTCCTGCTGCCTATATGTCATTTTCTTGCCAAAAATATCGAATTGATTTGCCACTACCTTCTAGGATTTTTTAATTTGTTTTTTCTTTGTTTTGTTTTGTCTGGTTTACAAACCTGGTAATCTATGGGTGTCTCTGTAGTGGAGGGAAACAAAACGTCCAAAGAGATTCAGATACAAAAGAGATCTGCCAGTCTAGATAGTAACCAGTATTGTATTTGCATGGCTTTCTTAGGAATACAGGTAGTCCTCATTCAATGACCCTAATTAGCAACTCCATCACTAAGCAAAGCAGTAGTTAAAGGAAACATTATATGACTGCACCAACTTACAACAGCCATTCCAGCAGTCTTGGCTGCAGTCATTAAGCGAATTACCTATGGTCATTAAGAGAGACATCATGTGACTGCAACTTGCAACCTCCTGCCAGCTTCCCCATTGACTTTGCTTGTCAGAAGCTGGCAGGGAAGGTTGCAACTGGAGATCATGTGAACGTAGGATGCTGCAACCGTCGTAAATGCATGATGGTTGCCAAGCGCTTGGATCACAATCACATGACCACGGGGATGCTGCGATGGTCATACGTGCGAGGACCAGTCGCAAGTCACTTTTTTCAGCCCCATTGTAACTTTGTACAGTTGTTAAACGAATGGTTGTTAAGCGAGGACTATCTGTACATTTGATCCCAAGGTCAGATTGGTATAATTAATTATTTTCTTTTTTGAAAAGATAATGATATTTCCACATTTAATTGATGAAAAATGTAACAGATGATGGCATTCATAAAGCTTATGTAAACATTGTGCACTGTAAAGATGTCTGCACATACATGTTTAAATGCACTTTCCTATTGTTTTGTTCTCTATTTTGCATGTTCTTTTGCTGCACAACAGAAGGAAGCCAAGAAAATCCCATCCTACAAATTCTTGCCACTGATGTACCAGCTGGCTGCTCGAATGGGAACCAAGATGACTGGATTTCATGAGATTTTGAATAATGTAATTGACCTTCAATTTTTTAATGTGTCTTTCTCATTTACAAATATATCATAGAATTTTTGTTTGGATATTAAGTAGGTATGATAGGAGAGTGGTAGGAATTTTTTCTTAGGCTATATGTAGACAGTTGAGCTGGTGAAAAAATTTTCTACAAGGGATCATTGCAGTAGCACTATATTGGTTTAGGTATTTTGAGAATGCTAAAGGATTTCCTTGATATATAACAGGGTCAAACATCATTGTCAAGAAATACTCAATGTGATGTATGTCACATCAGTTAAATGTTTTTGGTGGCGTGCTGGGAGGTCGCCCTCCAAAGAATACAAATAGTCCTCAGCTTATGTCCATTCATTCAGCAACTGTTCAGTTACAGCAGTGGTGAAGAAATGGACTTATGGCTGGTCTTCAAAGTTCTGGCTATTGCAACAGCCCTGTGGTCATGTGTCCCAGGGATCTCATATTCTGTAGCATCCCCCACCCTCCTGCAGCCTCTTGTGACCCAACCATAGATCCCAACAACCCACGGCACCTCCCCACCCCCTATGGCACCTGCGCACCCCTCTGTGCTCTTTATCTGGGACTCCTGCCTTTTCCTGCTTAATGACCTGGGATTACAGTGGCAACTGGGACTGCTGGGATTGTCATTGCTAAGCCATCCAGTCATGTGACATCGCGCTTTACAACCGCATTGCTTAGGGATGGCAGTCCCAGTCCCAATTGCTGTCATATCTGAGGACTACTTGTAAGTGGGTAATGAGCATGAAACTGAGCAAACTCAGGGAGGCAATGAAGGACAGGAAGGCCTGGCGCGATAGGGTTCATGGGGTCACAAAGAGTCAGACACGACTTAATGACTGAACAACAACAACAGAAACCTGTAAGTGAAACTGGGACAAAAACTAACTTTTATTTAATGTAAATGTAGTGAAAATCATACTGCTAATATAAACCTTTAGATGAAACTGAGCAAACTCAGGGAGGCAATGAAGGACAGGAAGGCCTGGCACGATAGGGTTCATGGGGTCACAAAGAGTCAGACACGACTTAATGACTGAACAACAACAACAAAAACCTGTAAGTGAAACTGGGACAAAAACTAACTTTTATTTAATGTAAATGTAGTGAAAATCATACTGCTAATATAAACCTTTAGAGATGAGCCATATAAGGCTTTCAGGGACCATATGTACTTCTCAGTTGAAGCATATTGAGCATTACTGTTGAAGCTTTGGTGCTTGCTTAATATTTAGTTCACATTTTATTTTAAAAAACAAACTTTTTCAATATTTTTATTTGAATAGCTTATAGCAAGAATTTCTCTCGACCATCCACATCACACTTTGTTTATAATTCTGGCATTGGCAAATGCCAACAAGGATGAACCCCTGACCAAACCAGAAGTGACTGAAAGAAGTGGACTAATAAAAAATGTGCCAAAAGAAGCATCTCCTCTTGACATGGTACTTAAATTTAACTATATTTGCATTGTTTGGGATTGTAAAAAAATAGTAAGTTATTACAGGGATCATGGAACGTGTGGTCAGTGATGATGATGATGATATGAATTTTCTCTCCAACAACGTATTGTTTCCTAATATCAGATTTATTTTAAGTCTTTGATTAATTTTATCCTTTGCATTTGAATTGCATTTTTAACTTCCTTTTTTAAAAACTGATACTACAGGATCGAATGGCGGCTGCTAGCAGTATAATTAACATTGTAAAACACAAAAGACCTAATATGGTGGTACAGGTTGAAGCCCTTTGTGATGCCTATATTACTTTGGCAAACATGGATGCAAGTCCCTGGAAATCCCACAGAAGTAAGAATTTGTGTGTGTGGCGGGGGGGGGGGGGTTATTTGGATGCTTGGAGTCCATTCATTCCTAGTTCAAACCCCATAGCAAAGGGAAAGTACTATTTTCTGTCCACAGTATATTTTACTTGGAGTATATTATCTACGAATGCTGTGCGTTGTAAATATTTTTCCCAAATTGCTATGTCCAGAAATGAAAGTTGATTGATTTGGCAGGGTATAAATCCAATAAACAAACAAAGTTAATTAAAATAAATTGGTAGGTAGTGGCTAAGTAGGACTTCTGGAATAACTTTCAGTAATACAGTCAGAAATGTATTCTGAACTTCAAAGAATATTCCGAAAATGTTGCCTTTTCAGTATGACATGGGGTGCTGTTCTTGAAAAGTATATACTTAATGAAGAGCAGATATTTATTAATGTGATCCATGTTTTGTTTATTCAGGAGGCATAAATATTCCTTCTAATCAACCTATAACTAAATTAAAGAATCTAGATGTTGTTGCTGTACCTACCATGGAAATTAAGGTAAATCAATTTGAGTTATTTAAGTCTCAGTAAACATTTTTGCACCATTGTGTTGGAATAGCAGAGAAATGAAAACACTTATTGTTCAGGCTGAATATTTCATGTAGGGGATGGACAAATGGCAAGGATTATCTACATTTCATCTAAATTTCTATGTGATTTTAGGTCGATGCTAGTGGCAAATATGAAAATTTGATCACGATAAAATCATTCAAACCACAATTTCACCTAGCGGGAGGAGTCAATCTGCCCAAAATAATAGATTGTGTTGGATCAGATGGACAACAGAGAAGGCAGCTTGTGAAGGTGGGTTCTCTATTGCATCAAGAAACATGAACATGATATATAGACGTGGCACTGTTGTAAATTGCTATGACCACATCGCATTAGAATAAGTATGATAAAGTGTTCAATCACAAACATACACTCAGTGGAACTATACAGTGTTAAGCTTATTTCTCATTTGAGGAACATTTTAGATGGGGATGCATGCACAGAAACATTTGTTTCTTTCTCCAGTAGCATACTGAATTTACACTGTTGAGTAGGACTCTGCCATATGAATTCCTGCATATTTTTATTTCATTGTATTACAATGTAAGTAATATAGCAGGCATAAGATAATGGTAGTGAGTGGAAGGTTCTTAAGTAATTTTATTAATATATTTGTAATGCATAACAAAGCTTTTCCACACTTTTGAGGAGTTCCAAAGAAAGACAGCCCATCTGAAATTGCAGTCTCATTCTCACTCTTGTTTATAATGCAAAGGTAGTTTTACTTCAGTGTAGGGATGTGTGGAGACTTCTTTGTGGTGATTTCTATTCTCAGCACTCTTACATGGATGCAGGGTCCATTTGCTTCTCTGAATGTTTATAGGACCAGGTAATATAATTCTGCATTTGCAGGAGAGAGTGCTATTCCTATTGCTTTTTTTGGATCTCTTAAAGGGACGTGATGATCTGAGACAGGATGCTGTCATGCAGCAGGTTTTCCAGATGTGCAACACTCTGCTACAGCAAGATGCTGAAACCAGAAAGAGAAAACTGACTATCCGCAGATACAAGGCAAGCTTTGCATGAAAATTACCTGCTGTGGATTTAATGTGGGTGCCCTGAATGCAGGAAGAACTGCCCCATAAAAGACCATTCATTCATCTGCTGTTTCTCAGTAATAGCATCTAGAATAGCTGGCAATGGCAGTATCTGAACATCAGGCAAAGCAAATAGGTTGCCACCTTTCTCCTCCGACAGAAAAAGTGCTTCTCCTTAACTCTGTCTAGTTTGGAATAATCTCTACAGGCGAGCAGTGATTTTCCAGAGCCTGACCCAGGTCTTGCCCAGCATCTCATGCTTGAGAACCTGTTGCGGATGTAGCCTGGGACCCTTCGTTATTTATTCTACTGCTAACTGGAACAACAGCCAAACTTCTCTAGACATATTACAATATGATATTTAAATATTTAAAAATATTTAAAAAGAAAAATGGTAAATACAATGCAAAAATGATGCAATTAATGCAGTTTAACAATTCAGGTAGTCCTTGACCTACAACCATTCAGTGATCGTTCAAAGTTACAATGGTGCTGAACGAATGATGGTTAAGACTAGTCCTTGGAGCTCTGGCCATCCTAGCACCCCCGCGATCATGTGATTGCGATCTGGGTACTTGGCAACCCATTCGGACTTACAACTGGTTGCCAAATGCCCTGTGATCACATGATCACTATTTGCAACCTTCCTTGCTGGCTTCCCCAAAGTTAATGGGGAAGCCAGCAGGGAAGATTGCAAGTTGCTGGGGTAAGTTTCCCCCACCCGTGCACTGTTCCCCAGCCCCTCTGCACTCATGCCACGCTGGCCATTCGCAACCCCCTGCACAGCCTCCTGGACCCACACCACACTTCATGCACCCGACCCATGCCACACCCTTGCACACCCTCTCCAACTTGCATGGCACCTCTTGTGCACCCACCCTGACCTGGGTGGCGCCTCTCACGTACTCTCCCCAACCTGCATGGTCCCTCTCGCACACCCTCCCCAACCTGGGCAGCGCCTCTCACACGACCCCATGCACCCTCCCTGAACCTCCCTTACACGTGTGCTGTACCTCTTGCACATCCCCTTGCTCCCTCCCCCACCCAGCAGCAGCCACTTACCTGCCTGCAGGCCTGGGACTTGCAACCAGGCTTTGAAGACCTGGTTCTGCCACTGGGTGAGAATGCAAGCATGGGGATGGCTAACCCCATAGAGGCCTCTGCCTTCAACCTCAGGTTTTTCATCCCCTTGGTCTCTCCTTTTTAGTAATGTTTTAATTTAAGGTTTTATGTGTTTATATGTTTTATGTTCTAATGTTTGTTATGAATCGCCCAGAGTTCCCCCATTGGGGGGAGATGGGCGGTTGAAAAATTTAATAAACAAACAAACAAACAAACTTCCTGTTGGCTTCCCCGCTGACTTTGGTTGTGGAAAGCCAGCAGGAAGTTGCCTCATAATGACCGTGGGATTCAGTTAACAACACTAACTGGGACTGCAGGGATTGCTGTTGCTAAGCATGTGGTTGCACTTTATGACCGTATCACTTACTGATGGAAATTCCAGTCCCAATTGCCATTGTAAGTCAAGGACTACCTGAATGATGCAATTAAGTAAGAGCATAGAAGATATGAATAATATGTAACATTATGTATTGTATGTAAAATAGCAAATCCACTACTTCAGCTTGTGCTCAATCTTTCCTCTCATTGCAGACTAGCTCTAAAATAATAATCAAGCAACTTGAACATGTGCTCTTTCATTCCTTTTCTCTTGAGGGTTTTCTTCTGCCTTTCCAGTGATAATCACAATTCTGTGTTAATCTGTTCTCTAGTACTTTCTTGATTAACCAGAGATCATATAATTCAAAATGGATCTGCTTTATCTTCCCGTCTAGGTTGTTCCCCTTTCTCAGAGAAGCGGCATCTTAGAGTGGTGCACTGGCACAATTCCTTTGGGTGAATTCCTCATCAATACTCACTCCAGTGCTCACAAACGCTATAGACCAAATGACTACAGTAGCATAGACTGCCAAACCAAAATGATGGTAAGTCCAGTACATTAAATCATGCCAGTTAATGCTTCTTCACTTGTAGAAACTGTTCATAAGAAAATGGAAGGGATCATACCTCTGAGAGTAGTAGAAAAGTGGTTGTCTGTGTGAAGGAGAATCAGTTTGTAAAACAGTCGTTCAGGATTCATTCAGAAAAGTAACATGACCTCAGAGCCATGTTGCCATGTCATATGAATTCAGTCTTTAAACCAGTTTCTTAAATCAGACTTAGCTAAGCAGTGATACAAACGGGCTAAAACTGTCAGGTATAGTGAAATGATGACAAATTGGCACAGTAAAACCAATATAAAATCAACAACAACAACTAGAATAAGGGGGCACATTTGAACTAGCAGTGGAAACCCTGATGGTGAGGAGAGCTGTCTTCAGATAATATACCATCACTGGAAAAATCCTATCTGTTGTAGCCACCTGCCTTTGCTCACTGTGTGAGATATCTTGAAGAGGGCTTCAGGGGATGCTCCTATGAAACTGGAAGCCAACTTTGGGAGATGATAATTACTTTTGATAATCTCATCCCAAGGTGTTTGGCAGTTTAAAACTAAAATAAGCACTTTGAGTTGACTCAGAAATGATTGACTGGCAGTGCAGATGACAAATCCCTAACTGAGTAGGATCTTACTAATCAGTCCCAGTTAACAGTCCATAAACCCTGAAATTTCTGTACAGTTTTGAAAGACAGCCCCGCCTGTAAGCCACATTACATCCAAACAACATAACCAAGTTCTAGGGCTACCATATCTGGATTGTAGAACTCCAAAGATCACTCAGTGGCACCAAAGAGATACAGAAAACCTCTGTTTAATTCCATCTGGTGGTTGCCTGTTTTGGGGGGGTGCAGTCCAGATATGGGAGCCCTGCCAAGTTCAGTACTTTATCCACTACACTATAAGTTTCTTTACAATGTTATCAGAATATCTAGTGAGCATTTTCGTGTGTATTTATACTTTGTAGGAAAGAGGTGTTATTTTCTTGTGTAATTACAACGCTAGTTGTATTTGAAAGCATTTTTCACACCATATCTGTTCACATACAATGGAAACTATACTCAAAATTAACAGGAGAAAGGAAATAACTATCTGTAAACTATTTGTGGTTCCCTTCAAAGGATGCAAAAAAGAAAGGTTTTGAAGAAAAATATACTATTTTCATGGATATATGCCAGAATTTTCAACCTGTGTTTCGCTATTTCTTTATGGAAAGATTTTTGGATCCAGCAGTGTGGTTTGAGAAACGGTTGGCATACACTCGTAGTGTTGCCACTTCATCCATAGGTATTACAAAATATAATAATTGGTTTTGTTAAGCTTCTATCATATTTACAAGAAACATATTTTCTTTGGAAATCTGGGCAAAGACAGTTTGTTCCTTTTTGTCCTTTGGGGGTGGGGGTTGTATTATTTTAAACTAGGGGCTGGCCATCTTTAGATGGCCAGCAGTAGCCCAATATTTCTCAGGAGGACAAGGGCCACAGTAGTAGGAAGGATTATGCAAAGTGGGCAGCATCACACATGTGGTCTGAGCCAGGATTTTCTTTTTTGCTGGAGTTGTTTATGTGTGTGCTTGTTTTTAACGTATATAAAGCCTTACTTTGGAAATATTCTGTTGTTTTTACATTTCAAAATCATGGATACCTTGCCACTAATAATTGGTAGTTGTGATTGGAAGGGTTTCCGGAAGCCAGACTAAGAAGGATACGTTGTACCAGACCACAAGTTGCCCATCCTTGTTTTAACTATACTAAACCTTTTTCCACTATAATATTTGTGCCTTTCCCCTTCACAATGGCAGGAAGTTACACTGCTGATTTTTCAGACAGGGTTCCAGAGACTACCAAAATGGGTTCATATACTTACTGCTTTTTAAAATGTTGAGCTCATTTTTTTTCTGTAAGATGGGGATTTTAATAGATTGTATAGATAGTTACTTTTATTTCCTTCCCTATTTTTATTTAGGTGTGTTATTCTGATAGCAAATGAAAAATATTAAATTATCCTTTACCTTGTTAATTGTAAGTTACCACACACTTTGTTTGGCTTTTCCAGAATACATGAGACCTTTATGAATTTATCAACATTTAATCCAGTTATATAATAAAAAGTAAACAAATTATCAAGAACAAGACATAGTGGTTCTAGTTTCAGTGTTTAATAAAAAGACTTTTCTCACACATGTAATTAGTAGCAATTAAAATCTAGCTGCATTTTTTCATTTCTTTTTCTTGGTTGTTAAAATAATATGGTCAATAAATCAAATATTGGTACTGTATTGGTTTTTATGTTTTTACGGTTTTTATTGTTGTTTATGAGCCACCCAGGGTTCTGTTGTATAAGATAGCCAGCTATATAAATCTTTTAAATAAATATAGTCAGGACCAGAAATATTGGAACAAGGATTACTGTTTTAGCATTTGGCCTCTGTACACCACCACATTGAAGTGTGAAACACACCCAGATGGGAGCAAAGTCAGGACTTTCAGCTGTAATTCAAGGGTTTTGATAAAAGTGGGGCACTAACCATTCAGGAGGTACAGCCAGTGGCATACACACACACCCATCATTGGTGGCTCAGAAGTAGTGGAATGAATGGCTGACAAGCAGCTCAAAGGCCTGGAGGTGGTTCTGAGTGTTACATTTGCATTTGGTAGCTGTTCACTGGAACT